CGTGTTTGGTTGAAAATTGTCATTAATATTTTTTCATCTGAGCATGTACTTGATGTTGACCCTCTTCATCTTCCTTCATTTGACAAGACAAGTTGGCATGTGGGATAGTCAAGTGCCCATAAGTAATGATGATGGAGAGGGTGGGCAGGAAGGGAGGGACCCGTATGTTGTTTGATGATTTTTTTCGAAAAGACTGAATATATCAAAATATGGATTAAAGATAAGACATTTAAAGTTCATATTTATAGTTTAGAGGAAAGTTTTAAAAACTTCACGATACGATAAGGATATTGATTATAATTATGAAGTGATGAAGAAAGCACATAGCGTAAAAGACAGATATAATCAAATCCTCCATCGCTTTTTTCTAGAAGATGACAGAAAAAACTAGTAATCTTCCAGACTGGCTTATTTTCCTTTATTAATTTTTTGTCTAATTTTAAATATATTGAAGAAGACACTCGAAAAGCTCAGAGAATTTTTTCACTCCATTAACCGAAATAAATTTTTCTCCACAAAAAAAGCAGGGTGAGGGGAAAGAAAATAAACAGAATAAGTAGAAATGAATTTCTTTTTCTCTTGCAGAAGAGATTGAGCGAACGAGTGTATCAGAACTTGATTGGTGTAAAGTCCATCTAAAACCATCACGAGATATGGATCTTGAATATTTCTCGTCACCAGCTTCGTTAATTGCTGCTCTTCGAATTGACTTTGAACATGATAAACAAGTTCGACATTATTTCAATTCACAGGCTGTGTTTTTTTGCAGTTTAAATGAGAATAGTATAAATTTAGTTTGTGGAATAAATCGCTTGATAAATGTATAATGATTACTTATAATCTTCCAAAATTATTGAATCGAATTAAGCGCTATTTCAAATTTCATGGAGGATACTATCCTTTACCGATTTTATTGTATTTAAAGTGTAAAAGTTTAATTATAAACAAACATATTATCTTTGAAAAAACTGAGTGACTTTTATTTTGGTTTACTAATATAATAATTGCTGGAAATGAAGAAAAATTTTTTATGAAAAAGGTGCATACTTGAACTTTTCAGGGTATTTTACTGAAAGGTAAAGAAAAAGTTAAAGGTTACCGAGAGATTTTATCGAAAATTCACTACTTTAATACTCGAGCTGACTCATATTCACGGAGAATTTATACTGTACAATGTGCAATGAGTGGTGGACAAATTCTTAGCAATGAATTTCTCGTTACGGTAATTCTGTTGAAAATAATTAATGGTTAATGATCGAAGCATCAAATGCTAGAGAATAGATATTTTCAGAAGAGAAAGGAAGTGGAAATGGAGAACTTTTTTTACCAAACTTTAATTAGATGTCGTAGAGATAAATTAGTCATGAAATCTTTTAAAATTTAGAATGAATTAAAAATTAACAGGAACAAATGAAAAATTTAGATTTTGCTATTCGTTTAAGAAATACTTTTCCAAGACTATCTTTCTACCTTACAAGAATTGTTTAATGTTTTGATAATTATTTTTTTATGCTCTTCACTTGTTATTTTTATCATCCTTCTCGTCAGTATATTGCACATCTCTTCATTATTTAATGTTATGGTGTAGAATGAAGGAACAAAAAATTTAAACCAATATAAAAAAAATAGGAAAGGGAAATAAGAAAGCTTTTTGAAAACTATTTCTTTTCCATAGTTTAGAAGTCGTGCTGAGAAGGGATTTTTAAAAACTATGTAAAACAGCTTTTCATTTATTCTCCATTCAACTATAGTACTTAATTTTCAGTTTCGTTTGTTAGCAAAACTTTAAATTGAGGTTTTTTTTTTCATAAATTTCAAGAATAATATCACTTACTAACTCACAGTATATTTAGGATTTCCTATCTTTTCGAGAGAATTAATAAATAGATGTTTGTGACAAAAGTTATTCTAAATTACCGTATAATATTGATGAGGAGAAAAAAATGAGGAGTGAAGAGAAATTTTAGTATGCATTTTTAAGGATTTTATGTAGAGAAAGTTTGTCCGTTGGGAATGAAAAGTTCATGAAGTAATCAAAGTAGTTAATGAAAGTACGCTTCTCATTTAAGGACCAAAAAGACCTAATCCAAATTAATTATAAATTTTCAACTCTAAATTACTGACATCCATTATGTTGTTTTGTTTCAAGCATATTGGAGATTGAAATTAAAATAGAGAAAAAAATTTAGATGAATATCAATGCATTATTGCAATCAACTGAATTGCCAGTTACTGAAATTTTTGATGATGATGAAGTGCAAGTGGATCCTGCATTCGATCAAATTGGTGGAAATCGACTGCAAAATTTACTAGAAATGGATTTGTCACGACCGAAAGCGTTGATATCACATCACGGATACAGTGTGCAGGGTGCTATTGCAGGTAGAATGTTTATCTAAAAGCCATCTGTATATTGAACAGGCAAAAGATCAAGTTTTCAATGAAATTTACTGTAGTAATGCATATCTACTTTCACATCTTCCAAAGCCACCAAAAGTTAAATCTTTTTTTATTAAATATGTTTGATTTTATATCATGAATTGACATCGATATTCCGTAGCCCTAAAAGGGATTGTATATTATTAATTTAAGATCTTTCATTCTTTTCGAACAGAACAGAAGTATATTTTTCCTTTTTTCTGATTTGAATATACGGATAGAGAATTTTCAGGAGGTGTAGTTGCTGTAATCGTTGTTTTATGTGTCGGTTTCCTTCTGGTTATGTTAGTAATCGGAGTACTGAAAATGCGTGATACTCCACTTCCTTCCAGACGGCGACGCAATCGGAGAAACACTGTAAGATTAGTTCTTGTATTCATATTATTCAAGTAATGAAGTCATTATTTTATAGGAAGGAGCAATGGAGTGGGATGATAGTGGTATGAATATAACAGTAAATCCATTGGAGGAAGTTGAAAAAAACGGCGTTGAGTTTTCTGATGAAGAAGAAAGCTCTGATGGAGGTGAAAGGTGATTTCATTTATTTATTGAAATAATATCTAATATTTATATGTGAACTTTAGCATAAATTTGAATGAAATATTTGGGCTCTAAAAGCATTATTCTGGATAGATGAAAATTGCAAACTAAAACAAGTGTAAAAATGTTGAATATATTGATATTTCTGGTCTTTTCATTATCTCAAAACTTCAAATTATTAATTTTGCAATTTAATATTTGTCCTTTTTTCTCCTGTGTTCATAGAAGTCTAAATTTTTAAGATATTTCTAATTTTAAATAAGCAGTTTAATTGTATTTCAGCTTTCGTGATGAAGGCTTGACAGAAGATGAAGATGCTGGACATGTACTTCCTCATATCGATAATGGTCAGTCAGACATTTCCATTTCCCTTCTAGTTTTCAGATAATTAAGAGAAAAATTCTAAATGCTCGACTAAAATATTTTCCCATATATTTCTTGCATAAAGTGACCATAAATAGCCTAACAAAGAAAGAAAAAACGTGAAACACTACCGTTTTCTTTATTATTATATTATAGCATTACCCTTTCTGTGCGAAATTTTTGGAATTTGAGATTTTCTTCTCCATCAGAATATGTATTAATTCTAGAGCGACAGAACAGAAGTTTGGAATGGGACGACACGACTTTGACAAACATTTCACGTACCTATCGCGTATAAAAAGAAGAACTCACTTAAATAGTCAAATTATATTACACTGAACAGTTTGATTTGATTTTCTTTTCAGTGCTCCCAAACTTTTATTAAATTTCCACTTATTTTTCAAAAAGCAACTTCCCTGCCAACTGCGATGTATTTGTTCCCATTATATTCTTATTAAGTTATATACATAAGCAATGGAGTGATTTATTATCATTTATTAATTTCAAAGTCGTTCATTCGTTGATCAAATTGCTCTATCCAAAGCATTTAAAACAGTAGTTCGTCTTGTTTACATATTTGTGCGTGTGTGCCATCTCAATTTATATGTTCCTTTATAATTAGAAATACTCTTTCCTAAATTTATTTTTCTCAAAAGCGGCACTCGTATCTCATTTACTACCAAAAAAACTTGAAACCTATACTTTCTGATATTATAATATAGCCTCCCAACCCCAACCAAGTAGAATCCTTCCCATATCTCGCAGCAAACACCTGAAAACTGATACATTTCATGGCAACTGGTTTCTTTGTCTGCAACTTTTATTTATTAGAACAAGGTCCTCAAATAATTCTAGCATTGAATAACGAACTATGCTTAAAACTTCTGACGTTTTAAAGCATCTATTCGAAAATTCGATGTGAAGAAAATTTCTGAAAAGGGAGAAAGATTCCATTACGATATCGCAACTAAATTTGAAAAAAATTTCTAGATTACGAATTTAACTGCTAGAATGACGTGCAGAACCCAAATGTAATTTATTCCAAAACAAAAATTATCAGTAAATAGAAGTTTGAACGACGTAAAAATACATTAAACAGAATAACAACAGATATAAAAAGCACATTAACAAGATAAAAGAATATTGCAATCAAATGAAGTTACAATAGCTTTTAGTGATAAACACGTGTGGTGATTTTCCTAATTCTTTTTCTCCATAATGTATCATTTTCTTTTTATAATATCTTTTATGTGCATGTATTATCGTATGTATGTTTGTGATTATACTTACTGCAGTAAAAAACATTTATTTCTATTATTACTATAATGAATATTTCGATGTCTTCACCATACATACCACAGTGAAATAAATCTCACTATTATTTATAAGTTGATAAGGTTTCAAAAGAACTAACCAACGAACTTAAACAAACGCCACCTTCACCTTCTACTCATTGATAGGAGTTACTGCGGTCACTATAATTGAGTTCATATAGTTTGGATTGGACAATTCAAGAACTGAAAGGATAAGACACAGAGAAGATGAGTAAGGGAAAAATGGCTTATCAATGCACGTGAAATAACAGAAATTTCCCAATAAGATGGAAGATATAAAGAGCGCTCAAAAACAATAATCACAGGACATATAATTTTGAAATTCTAGTTCGACAGTGCTTCTCCTTTTAACAGCGTTATTTTTCTCTCTTTCTGAGCGAAGTTTATCTGGAATAATTACAAGTAATTAGTTTTGATTACCAATTAGTAAAAATTTAAAACATAAAATTAAGAAAAATAATGCGAACCTTATCACCAAGCGATAATGCCATTCCTTGACTTTTGGCACGAATTCGTATATGCCCTATAATCGGACTATTTGGATCAAGGGGATTGGTTTTTTCTATAGAAACATTAGCTAGTGCGTCTTCTCCGAAGATGCTATGTGCACAGAAGTTGGCAGCCAAAAAGCCACATTCACCTTCTGAAATTGAAAGGCATTATGAGGTTCGTGTTTTACTTGCATATACGTTCATATTTTTTAGAAATTGTAAAAAAATATCACCAGATCATGAGGCCATCAATAGAATGAGACATTACTAAGAGCTATGTTATGGCCAAATTTGAAAAATACCTAATGCGGCACCAGTGGTCAATAACTTCATGTTTGTAACGGCAGATAGATGCGTTAGGAATGTACGTAAATCGGTGATTGGTGTGTTTACGTTGACCTAAAAAGCAGAAACGAACTAAAACTGAAATATAAAATTACTAAAGGAAAGAAAAACCACAGAAAATGTTGGATTCAGTTAAATACTAGCATCAAAATAGATGAAAAATGAAGGGACATACTTTATTTTCCCATTCAAATTCGGCCCACATATGCCGAAATTCGGTGTCCGTACAATTGCCCGGTACAATATAATCCATTATATCAATATGTATATCTTCTAGATAAACGCAATTTCGATCAGATGTCGATCCACAAACATCGTAGGCTATAACCGAGAAAATCACACCATTTTCTGTGGAAACAACTTTTACGGTAGCCTAAAATGATTAAGTAATAAAATTTTTTCAAGAAAAGAAAAGACATAATGATATTATAATAAGGAGACAAAATTTTTAACAGTCTAAAGTCTGGTAGAACCTCAAAACTTACATGCAATCAATAAAAAGATTATTATCTAATAATTTGCTGCTTGTTTTTCAAAGTGACAAATTATGTAAGAAATTTCCCGTATATTCCTGTGACTTGTAAAACCAAACATTATTTTGAAAAAATCACCTTAATGTTGGAGAAATCACGAGGTGCAAGTGTAAGGGGTGTTGGTTTATCGAGCAATTTGATATCACCAACAGTTGATAGTTCCAGGCAAACGTTTTGAAGAGTATCATTTGTTTGATTAACGATAAGTACATCAAGAACAATGTCGTACTGATTTATATTAACATATGCTTCAGCATAAACAGGGTCCGAAAAACCAGCAAGTTGCTTCACCTGAAACTTTTCATTAGGTTTGCACGATGTATATATGAGAACTAGAAGCTTTACAATAACAAAAAGCATTCTAACTAATGATAAGGGATTTTCATCAATTTATTCACCTTGCCTAGCTTGGAGGAAGCAAAATCGAATTTGGGAGACTTTGCAACAGTTCCCAGTGCTTGTGACAATGAAAGATCGAATAAGTTTTCAGTTCCAGTGACTCCATCACCAATACGAGGGGCAAGCTGCGTAAACGAAATTGTACGATCTACCTCCACTTGAACAGTTCTATAAATTGAATACGCAAAATATTGCTATATTGTAGAGTTTGAAGAATTTTTAGACTATTCGAGTCAGGAAACAAACTTTTCAAACATCATGATAGCTGAACAAAATCAGCAATTTTTCATAAAGATCTGGTGCGGAACAGAGAATGCTCGGCATTTATTAAATATTTTGTCCTTACACCAAATTTTTATGATTAATAAGCATATACCTGCTTGCTGCTTCGTTTTCAAAGCGTTCATTTTCTGATTTCGATTCCAACATTAGCTCAAGACTGTCGCGACACTTTCGTAAAAATGCAGCTTCTGCACCAGGCCACTTTTCACATAAAATTTTGATCGACATACCCAAACTGTAAGATTTGATTCCAATGTTCGAAATAAAGACGAGTTATATTCGCAACAAATCAATTGATATTATAAGAAATTGCACCAACAGAAGAAGAATTATTAATGATACTGTCAGCTTACTGATCAAGATCATCTTCGGTTGCATTTGTTTTCGCAAGACCACTTTTTCCGAGACTGATGATTGATGCAATAATAAATAGCGCCTCTCCCGCAAATGAATTAATTTTGTCATGTTTATCTGAAATAATTTTTTGAAACATTAAATTTATGATCTATTTGCAAATTAAACTGTCACAATTTCTAATTTTATTGTGCTGTTGTTTGAATGATCAGAACAGATGTATTTCTAAAGATAAATGAAAAAATTGAAAAATAACCTTTCATAAAATTGCTGTAATTGAGGACAAGTTTGACCAGAGCAGTTGCAAGCGATGAAGCTAAGAAAAAGTTTCCATCGAGAAGAAAACGACGTAACAAATCTTTATTTTCCATTATTTCCGTCCTTATTGAAAGTGCCGACTGCGCAGCATACGTGCCATCGGCAGTTACAAGTTGTCGAGTCTGTACCACAAAAAAAATCTAATTACATTATGCATCAAACAGTTATTCAAACCGCATTTAGCACAGTAAAGTAAAACAAATGAGATAAAGTATTTCAGATACCTTCGAGATTACTTCAGCTGTTGAATTTTCGTTCTTTTCATCCACGACTTCGTCACTATTAGCTGTTTGCATTTCTTTTTCTACAATGGGTAATTCACCAAACGACTTTCGAATAAATTGCATCACTCTCACCACTGATTCAGCTGACTCACAATATTCACCCAAAATCCATAATCCTGACCGAAAAACTTGCGCACTGCGTATATTTCCAAATATATCCTGAAATCCAAATATGAAAATTTCAGTCTGTTATCATTTTAAAGAAAATAACTAACCAAAAGTTGTGCTAAAACAACTGAGCGTAAATGTGGTAATCGTTGAACGGTTTCCCTTACAAACACCAAAACATCTTGTGCAGCATTTTCACTATCTTCAGAAAGAAATTCCATCAAAACAGGTAAAATATTTGCTGCGACATCTGGAAATTTGATTGTAGTGGAATGTAGTGTTCGTACAAGCATTTGTCGATACCGTTCTGCCTCATCCGCTGTTCCATCCGAAGAACGACCAACTTCCTGGAATTTTTTGGAAGTGCTTGCAACATATTGTTGGCCAATACAAAGAAAAAGAAATTGAAGGAATTCAAGATGTGAGGATAAAGATTATGTGAGCGAAATGAAAATTTTCGAATAAATTTACGAGGTGCATGCTTGGGCTGATGTCAAATCAGCTGCAAAGTATATATGTCGAACTGAAGAACTTTAATACATAACGTTGTATATCAATCATTAACCGAAAAATATCAGAATAAAACAACTGACCTTCTTCAAATACATGACCATCTCTTCGACATTACGCGAAGAAACAAGATCTAATGCAAGCTGCAGCGTCTTTTTCCGCACTTCAAGATCCGAAGCTGACAGTACACGTAGAACGTCCATTACTAATTCACGCAACACTTTTTCACTAGTTGGAGAAGAACGCAATTCGACTAATCGATCCAAAACAATTAACTAAAACATTTTACTTGGAATGTCAGGGTGAACTCAAAACCACGCAGATATATTGTTCTTTAATCTGAAATAAAAACAGAAATTCTGGAACAGCAGAAACTCAATACGTTTTTAGTCGGTTTCTTTTAACAAAACATACTCCTAAATGCTGCAATTTCCCCATCACATCTAGCAAATGACTCGTATTAAAATGGTACTTTTTGATAAATAATGTTGGATCAAGTTTTTTTAACAGAACCTTGACATTATTGTCAGATTCCTTTACAATAAGATCAATATAAGCTGATGCAGCAGCTTTAATTGCAGTAGGCGCGGAACTCAAAGTGATGAGAGTACCAGCTGCTTCGTATTTTACTGCTGGAGATGAAGACTGCAAGAGATTATAAACACAGCGAATGAAGCGTGCCCGTTCCGACGGATTTGCGTGACAAACCTGAAAATTTTGAAATAGAATGTGTAAAATTTCAAGATAAACAGAGAAATTGTCAGAATACAAAAATTGAATGTAGTAATGAAAATTTGTACATTGTATAACAAGATAAATTAAATTACTTTATAAATGAGTTCCACGATTATAAGTTGAAGAATATCACCAAATGTTGTAACTTGGTCGATAACTTCTGATAAATAATCTAAAGCTCTGCTTTGGTCAACATGAAGAAGCATCATGAATGCATTTCGTTTGCAAGAAGCGTCTTGCTCACTGTTCAATACGGTAGATACCAATTCTGGTGCATCAGGAATAAGAAATTCGAAATTACCTAAAAAACAAAAAAAAGAGAAAAATTACAACTTCAACTGGCTGTAACAAATTTCCTGAAAGTAAATGTCGATGTTTCAGCCAGCAACTTGAAACATACGGTAGATGGTGAATATAGCTAAAACAGCATTGCGTCGAACATAGGCATGTCGATGTTCGAGACATGAACGAATTGCAGGCATAAGAGGTTCCAGAAGTTCCGGCTCGCGAAGTTTGCATAAAAATCTGTCGTAAAAAATTTTTCTTTATATTTGGAGTAACTTTTATCGTGAAAAAATAGTATCAAAATATTCTCATATACTAGCAAGAAGCTTATGTCTTTCTGATAACGTTGGAAGTATCGAAAAAAAACAGGATATCTGTGAAGTTTTGCCATAGATTTTAAATCTTATTGCAACCACTAAAAGTTACCACCGATTGCTACCAGCGCAGAAGGAAAAGAATACTGATTTAGCATACAAAATGGTAACGTACAAATGAAAAATGAATGATATCATGAAAATATAAAGATGCAGGTAGAATATGATCAGTGTCTGATAAATATATATAAATATATACAAGCATATATGTCTAATATATATATATA